TATTGTAGTGTTTCTCTTGCTTTGTAAAGGATCTGAGAACTTATATACACCATTGTTGACAACTATCCTCATGTATGTCTGCATACAATATAAATGTTAAGCTACAGACAGAAGCTGATCATCTTAGCAGGAGGGAACAGCTCACCTGGCTCTGTCCACATAATCCACCTCTAAAGATCATTAATAAAGACACTATATCTGTGTTTGTTTAAACCATACAACAGCTGAAGCAGAAAAACAACCCTCTGTGGTTTTACAGGGTGTTATGTGTCGGACTGCTTCTTAGCCAGGAGCAGTGACTTCCTGGACTCTCCGCTGGTTGTCTTGCAACTGCTTCCAGCTGCTGACGGTAACTTTGTATTGAATGGACAGATATGAGAGGTATTGATCTTGATCGACTGTATTTCCCAAGATGTCAGACTCTTCCTGCTGTGAAGATCGAGGCGATATTTGTTGAAATAACTTTAGTGGACCAGAGTGTTTGTCACGGTGAAACTCTAATGTCATGATGACTCTTGGCAAAGATTCAGAAGGTGAACAAGAACAAGAAGTTTGTTGAAGTCTAGCCAGCTCTTCAAAAACATCTGCGTGTTATTACATGTTGTCACTTCTCTGCTTTTCCCAGTTGATTTTAAGAGGAAACCAGTAACACCTTACAATATCTATATATGGTCCTATACATATATTTAGTACATGGCAAAAAGTATGTGGACACCTGAATGTTACACATGACTGTTGAACATCCTATTCCCAAAGAGTGAGCATTAATCTGCTGCTATAACAGCCTTGACTCTTCTGGTTTTGGGGTTTCTACCAGGTTTTGGAAACCTGGCTGCAGAGATTTGCTCCCATTCAGTCACAAGAGCATCAGTGATGTCGGCCGTATCTGTGATACGGTTCCAGTTCAGTATGATGGGGTTGAGGTCAGAGCTCTGTGCATGCCAGTCTACTTCTTCCACACCTAATTTGGAAAGACATTTCTTTATGGACCTGGAGTCATGCTTGGGGGCACTGTCATGTTGGGAGGGTCTTCTTCTCCAGACTGTTGCCACAACATTGGAAGATCACTATCGTCTAAAATGCTATGGAGCATGAGAATTTTCCTCAAGTGGAACTGTCTATCTTTAACCTTAGAAAAACAGTATGTGGAGCAGTAAAGGGGGATTTATAGTTGTTGTTGTGAGCATTGATATTTGTGCGGTGGAGTGTCTGTGTCACTCTGCAGTTACACCTCCAAACACTAGTCGGTGGCGGAGGTTTCTGTGAAGTCTAGTTGATTCAAAACACACATTAAACATGGCGTCATAGAGACAATTTCAAACACAAGTACACAAATCAACTTCACTATAACTCGCAGCATTCCCAAACAAACTTTTGTCTTTATCTGGACACATTTTCCCCACAAATACAACATGCTAACGTCATTAGCACAAGCCTACGGCATTTTACATTGTGTAAATTAGCCTGGCAGCTAGTGGACTTTTCCTCTACTCATATGAAGCCAGGGACAACAGCAACATTTAACAAAGATAACGTTACAAATTCAGCTCCATTACAACTCACAAGGTTCACTGACAAAACAACTGTTTTATACTAAACACGTTTTCCAAACAAATACAACATCCTAATGTTATTAGCACAAGCCTATGGCATTTTACATTGTATAGATTAGCCTAGCCTAGATTTCCTCTACTCATATGAAGCCAGGATAAATCACACACAAAACTTAAAATGTTATTTTGGTGGAGGCTTTATTGTCTTCACAATTTATTGTTTCTTATCTGTGAAATTAAAGTAAATAAAAGCTTTGTTTCCACTGAGGGAAATGGTTTCAGCAAAAATGGACAGGAGGTCTGCGTCACCACAGCATGTAGTTACATTTCTGGGGAAGTGCATGTCAGGCTACGGGGTCGACGCAGAGCCTACGGCGTAGGTACGGTGTCGATTTGACACAGAAGTAAATTCCGCCGTATGTCCACATACTTTTAGCCAAGCAGCTTTTCTCTTTATCTCGACCAGGCTCTCTTCCTCTCACACACATACTTTATTGACAGCTGTGTAATAACCTCCTCTGAGATAACTGTCAGTCAGCCTCTGCACACAGCAGTTGGAGGGCTTCCTCCTGAACAGTGGGCCAGCCGTGATAACCCGCCTGTTCAGGACGGGTGTTTTCCCCCCCTGCTGAGTGCTGACACAGATAAACAACTCATGGATGGAGGCCTGGTGGAGCAAACATCCTCACTGCACGGAAACCCAGAACAGGGGGAAGTTAAATAGTTTCCTGTAGGTATGTAGGGGCTGTGCAGCATTCCCCTGCTGAGGACATTACAGTTTTCTTTGTGAGGTCAGAAAAGGTACTCAAAGAGTGCAGTCCTGGATGTAACTTCGTCAACAGGCCCATTCATTCAAGAGTCCATCTCTACTAGTTTCAGTTGCTGCAGGTTGAAATGTCAAATCCAGATAAGCAGAGTCGTGTCATAACAAGTAATTATGTTGTTGAGTTCTTGCTGACGGACCATTTATTTATTCTCTCTATCTACTCCATGGAAACAAGCTTTATGGGCTGTTCAGGAAACATTTAAAGGGATATCAAAGGGACATTAAATTAATAATAAAATTGAATAATGCTTTTGGGTCTTTCTCTCTCATTGTTCACGAAGCAGAGAGTCTCAGTCTGTTTTCGGTCAGGTATAATTAATATCTGAAGACAGGAACCAGCTTTCCCAAAGGGAGATCCTGAATCCTGCAGGCCATGTGTTGAATAATGCATCAGACATGTTGTGATCAGAGAGGAGTGCAGCCAGCTTTGCTTCTGCATGGTCTAAAACTCCTCTTGTTAACACACATTATTGCATATGACTTATTTAATGTATTTTAGGAACTGTGTTGTTGATGTAAACCGTTTGCACCTATGATGCTTTTGACATGTTCATATTAACATATTTGATGTATAACTTATTTTTCTGGTGTGAAACACTGCCATCTACTGACAGCCTGGTGTTTTACATCTTCTGCAGTACATTTGATTGACCACTGGGACAGTCAAATGTTCTTCAAACCTGCAAAACTTTATTTTAAATTCTAGTAGAGATCCAAACATTTTCTAGAATATCAGATATGTGAATTTGGGTGAAATGTGTATAAAATTATGCACAAGTCATATAGAATACTTCCATCTGATATAATGGTGCAGCCATAAAAAGCATTGAGTCTTGTGCTTTTCACTCAGGATTAACACCATGTAGCTTCAATGAAAAGCTGGACAAGGTGATAAAGAACATTTATATAGCATAATGCTGACAGACAGGGTGGAATATGATGTTTTTTCAACTTTGTACTCAAAATGAGAAAGGTTGGAAATTAAATGTAACAAGAACATGAATCTTTACAAATCTATTCAAGTAATATTCACTTAAACACAGAAAACAAAAGTAACTGATTCATTAATAAATCTGTGGCCCAATAATGAGCTCCTTTTCTCTCTTATTCTTCTGTCATTGTTTTTCAGTTGATTCATTGTCAGACAGTTTAACAAGAATAACTTTGTTATCTAAACAAAAAAAGGTCACACATTCCAATAAATAGTAAACCAGGAACACTTAACATCATGCAAATAGTCGAGCTGTAGTTATTATTATTATTACATTATTATTATTATTTATTACAGTGGTAGAATGTAACATAGTAAATTTACTCAAGTGCTGTACCCAAGTACAGTTTTGAGGAACGTGTACTTTACTTGAGTATCTCAGCTGTGCGCCACTTCATGCTTCTACTCCATTACTTGTCCGATGGGAATATTGTACTCTTTACTCCACTACATTTATTTGACAGCTTTAGTTACTTGACAGATCATTAGAATCATCTAAATATAAAGTAGTATAAAAATAGCTGAAATCAGCCCCACTTTTATCAGCTGCAACGTCTGTGACGCTCACACGTTAATGCGTCACTAATTATAATCTGGCTGTATTGTATATATTATTCTGATATTAAGCATTTTGCATAATAAGCACTTTTACTTTTGGTGCTTTAAGTATATTTTGATGCTAATACCTTTGTACCTTTAGTAAGATTAAGTAAGATTTTAAATGCAGTACAGGGTTAGGGTTTTAGGTCACGGCTTTACTTGTAATTACTTGTGACCAGTGTTGGGAAGGTGGATTTTGAAATGTAATAGGTTACAGATTATAGTTACCCTGTTAAAATGTAATAATTAATGTAACTTTTTTATTGCTTCTTCAAAGTAATGTAACTTTCTACAGTTGATGAACAAATATTTTAAACTGGACAAAAAAGCTGAAAAAGAAAAGAGGTCATTCCTGCCTGACAAGCAACAAAATGAATGTTTTATTCCATGTTTTATAATTTTTTTACTGAAATTAATATATTCAAAGGCAACCCTTTTATAATCACCAAAATTTTTATTAGTAACTGTAATATAATTACATATTTTTTCTCAGTAACTATAACTTATTACAATTGGATTTATTTTTAATAATAATTTATTTTATTTATTTTTAATTAATTTTTGACATGTAGGCTTAACTAGTTTCTTCCCAGTACTGCATATAACAGTATTTCTATATTACTCATGGGTATTATTACATTCAAAAAAATCTACAATAGAACAGAAAGGACTTTATTCATCGCCGAAGGGAAATTCAACCGTCCAGCAGCTCATAAAAGACAAAAACAACAACCACACTTCCCCTCATCAACAACAACACAGTGATATTACAATAGACATAAATAAAACAAGTTAAAATAACTGCATAACTAGAAATATAAATATATATATATATATACTGTATATAAAATAAAATTAATTATTTTACTTCTTCCACCGCTATCATATGGGATATAAAATAAAGTCAATTTTTATATTAAGGCTTCAAATGACATTTTAATACCGGATTTAAGTCATAGCTTACGCTTATTTTTCCTTCTCTGCGCTGCTGCAAAATGACACCGAGAAGAAGAAAAGAAGCTGTGGTGACGTGTTTCCGGTGTCATGTCAGCGTTCTGCCGAAGCCGCATGGCTAGCTGCAGGTGCTGCTGTATGTTTTGCTGCTCCAGCCAGGTACAGTGACGCATATTAAATGCAACAAGACATCAGAGGTATGTTGGGTTTTGATTTCTAACGTGTTAATGTTGTGTTTTAAACATTAGCTGACGAAAGGCTGATAATAAAAGCGACTTGTTGTTTTAAAGTGTTAAAGTGCATGTTAGCTGTTAGCATTAACTCAGTGCTGTCAGAGAACAGTGCTAGTACAGTGGCAGCAATAACATTTGACTAATAAGTGTTCATATAAAGCAGCGTGTCTATTTTAAATAGTTCAGTAGTTTTCTGTGAGTGTTTTGCTATTATATCTGATGTTTTCAGATTATTATTAGTGATGCATTAATGTGTATGTTGCCTTTTTCTGCTGTAGATGATTAAGGTTGGGCTCATTTTATCTCCTTTATATACTGTTGGGTAGTTTAATCTACTGCAATGTATCTAAGATCATCATATCTATGTAGTGTTGCTCTCCTGTGGAAACCAAGCATTTCTAAAAACTCAACTGTTAATGGTTCAGTAAAACAGTTTTCAGCTTTATGTTGATGCATTTCCAGCTGATCCAAGAGGGTTTTTAAAGAGTTTATTTAGCTTGAGAAGTAGGGGAATTTTTTCAACATGTAAATTAACACTTCATCCATCAGTTTATCACAGATATTGAAAATCAACACATCAGGATATATGTGATTTTCACTGGACAGAAAAGGGATGAAAAATATCATATGTAAAGTAACTCAAACCTGTTTTGGCTGCCATGTATTTAACAATATCATTATATTTAAATTTAAAAAAGTAGTGACTCATGTTTGCTTAATATTTTATAAACTCTCCTTTACTCAGATGGCAGAAGTTGTACCAGAGAAAAGTCGTGGCTTGAAGTTTGCAGAGCAGCAGCTCCTGCGTCATGGCTGGGAACACGGTAAAAGACTCTGATTTCTTTGTGTCACATTTCACTCGCTGCAGTGCATCTGACTCGGGTACAGATTTCTTATCCAGTCCGCTCTGTCCTCAGGTAAAGGGCTGGGGCGATCTGAGAATGGCATATCAGAAGCTATCAAGGTTAAAGTGAAATGTGACAAAGGAGGGGTGAGTGATGTTTGGTGTTATGTGGCATTTGGTCTCATTTTACTCTGTTTGTCTTCTGTAGAAAGTTGTTGTTTGTAGACTCACATGTTGCTCTTCTCCACCAGGTTGGTCATAAGGAAGGGGAGCAGTTCACCTTCCACTGGTGGGATCATGTCTTCAATAAGGCCTCCTCCAGTCTGCAGGTGGAATCTGATCAGGTGAGTCTGACTGTCCAACACAGCTGAACACACGGTCACACTCAGTCACCTCTGCTCAACACAACATGATCAGAATCAAAGGGTAGTCAGTGATGTAGTCTTGCTGTGTTTAAAAGATTTATTCAAGTGGGTTGTGTGCTGTTTTTGCGATGATGGGATGAGTAATTTAAGAATGAGGACATTGTCACTTGTTATATGCAGCTCATTTATTAGTCACCTTTTGAAAAGGTTACCAGCTGATTCATGAAAACTTAACACTCACCTCCTTCACTTATGAATGTAGCCGCATTTAGCTCCTCTGTCAGGAGAATATTTTTAGGAGCAGATTTTTCTGGTTCAAAGCAACAACTTTTAAAGGGATGTGAAATCTTAAACTCTGAACTAAAGTACAAGTTTTAAGTTATTTACTGTCTCAGTCTTTCTTCAACAGTGCTCACTGAATGTGTTAAAGAGAAAATAAAACATAGGTGCAAAGTGCAAGCACAAAAGTTAAAATTTAATAAGTGAAATCAGCTGTTAAGTGTTTGACAGAACGTCGGCTGTGTTGTTTGTTTTCTGTGTGATCCAGAACGGTATTCAGTTGAAGAAGACGGTAGAGGAAGATGAAGAGGATGGGACGATCTCCAATAAAAAGCCACGGAAAGCCACGCTGGCTAAAGCCAAACTTTATGGATGTTTTGTCAAGGTAATTTCTTTGTTTCTTAATTACTGGGTAAATATTTGAAAATGGAGGGCAGTGGCACAGAGGACTGAGCTTCACAGGAGTAATTAATTGTTGGTTTGGTTTTGGTTTTTTTTTTTCATTTGATTTGTGGACAATAAGAACAAAGAAGAACATCATCAGAATTTATGAACATTTAAAGACAAGAAATGTACAAATACACTTCTGTATGTTTGTTGTGTATTTAAATATGACTGAGTCTAGTTTGAATGGACGATGATCTTCACTGATTTTGTTTCCGTGTTTCTCTCTCAGTCAGCCACGCTGCTGTCTGGTCAGGAGCAGCCAGAGCCGAAGTCCTCCAGCTCAGACGACAGCAGCAGCTCAGATGAGGAGGACGACCAGAAATTGGATCTCTCCAGCACCACCAAGTAAGAACTGCACACAATGCACTTTGTTCAGATTTCTAATTATTTTTTCTAATCAAATGCTGCACAACATTTTATCACTGTCCACATGAGTACGACTACAGAGCGCATCTTGGTCTTTGTTTTCTCCCATCTCATTCTGGAGACATTACTGTTGGTGTAATTTCTTTATAATCAGCCCTTCCAGGATGTTGCAATGTCATGATTGTAACAATCACACACATTCAACCAATCCGTGTGAATACTGCATAAGCTTGCAATTCTGTCCAATCGCTGTAAGTTGAGCACAAATTTGACTTTGTCACATTTACCAACAAAAATGACTGATAAAGACCGCTCAATGCAGTACCCTGACGATGCTCATGAAACACGGGGGTAAACTAATTGGCACCATGTGCAACAGCTGAAATGCATGGACAAGACAAGTCACCATGACAGAGGCTGTTGGGTCCAGATCTATTGACAGAATCAAGGTGAGTTAGATTAAAGGTTCAATGTGTAGGATTTAAAGGGATATATTGGCAGAAATGGAATGTAATATAATAAGTATGTTGCATGTCTGGATCTTTAGTTATTAGAGGAAAAAGGTGAGCACACATTAACAGGTGCTGCGCTAGTGGTCTAGCTGCAATGAGTTGAACAGCGTTGGAGAAACACTGATTTTTAACATGGAACTGCCTCGCTCAGTGTTTTTACTGCTTCAAATCACCTGGTCTGTTTGTGTTGGAGAGAAGGAGACCTCTTTGGATAATTCAATAATTCACTAATTACAGAGAAATACAAAACCGTACTAATGAAGCTTCATTAATATAGGCCTATATTTTATCTACAAGTGCACGTCACACACTGAGCGAGCCGCCTGTTAATGACGCTGTGGGCTAATGGGCATGTAGCTACTTCCATGTTTCAGATGATACGTCATGGTTGTAGTCGACCAATGAAGATGAGTTTACATATTTCCTTGGGTTCGTCCTTCACCTTCTCAAAATGATCCCACACTTCACTGGACTTCCTGCCCGACATGTTATTAACTAGCCTGTGGAATAACCGCAGGTACCAGCCCTGGAAATTAACGCTGAGTGTGGCCACTTCCTGTGTCTGTCCTTTCAAATTAAATTCCCACATGGTCCAGTCATAGAGGTTTTGATTTATTTTGACAAGGAGCAGCTCCTGATAGAGTTTCACATTTGTTTTGTTTTTTTTCTGCCACTGAGCGACCAATGAAATCTTTTTTTTTTTTTTTTTAAGATTTTTTTTTGGGGTGTTTTGCCTTTAATTGACAGGACAGTGTGAGAAATGGGGGCGAGAGACAGAGTGGGGGGATGACATGCAGCAAAGGGTTGCAAGCCGGAGTTGAACTCGCAACCGCTGCAGCGACGCATCACCTCTATACATGGGGTGCCGACACTATCCACTACACTACCGACGCCCCGACGACCAATGAAATCTTGACAACCAGTGACCTTTCTGGTCGACTAACATTCGGCCGACTATTAGAGGGCAGCCCTAGCTCCAACAATCCCTAAACGAAGCCAGCAAAATCCTGGAGGGACTGTATAATCAGTCACTTTTAATTACTATCTATTGTTATTATTTATCTGCAAAAGCACTTTATAACTCTGTTTTTAACAGTATTATATAATGAAGTTATTCACTGATGCTCAACAGGCTTTCTGATGCTGATCTAATGAAGGCTTGTGGTGGACGCACGGCTCACAAGTAAGTTAATTCATAAAATTCTAAACAGAATTCAGTATTTTGTATTTTTTAGTAAAGTTTATAATAAATAAAGATCTTATTTCTGATGCATTTCTTTTTTGTTTCTTTAGAGGAGCCAGACACGGCTTGACAATGAGCGCCAAGTTAGCCAGGCTGGAGCAGCAGGAGGCTGAGTTCATGGCTAAGTATGGCAAGAAGAGTGAACCAGCGAGTGCTTCATCAGTTTGTGTTACACCAACTCCACCGACCTCCCAGCCAGCTGAGCAGAGCCCTGAGAGGCAGGAGGAGATGAGCGAGGACTCTCACAGCAAGAAGATGAAGAAGAAGAGGTCCACTGCGAGCGCTCATGAGCTAAATGGTGACGCAGTGTCTGAAAGTCCTGAAACAGATGTTAAACCCAAAAAGAAGAAGAAAAAGAAAACTAAAGAGGACACTGAGGAAATGACTGATGCTGTTTCCACTGAGGGGAATTTGATCTGTGTAGAAAACGGTGAAGCAGACCACAAAACAAAGAGGAAACATAAAAAGAGGAAAAACAGTGCAGACCAGAACGAAGAAGAAAGATCACCTTCACCTGCAGCAGAGAGCAAGAGTTCAGAGGAGACTGCTGAGCTGCACACAGACACAACAGTGAAGAAGAAGAAGAAGAAGAAATCCTCCAAACACCAGAGTGAACCTGCCGGGGAAGAGGAGAGTAGCAACACAGAACTCAGCCAATCAGAGCCGGTCCAGGACTGCGCTTCAAAGACAAAAACGAAGAAAGCTGCGGTTACATTGGAGGAAGCAGAAGTTCCAGAGAGTGAGGCAACCAGAAAGCAGAAAAGGAAAAAGTGTAAAAAAGACAAACTGTGTGTAGATGAAGATACAAACGAGGAGGCACCTCCTCCAAAGAAGAAGAAAAAGAAGAAGTCCAAAGAGTAATGTTTGATCAAAGCTGCTTTGGACACTGATAAACATTTGTGTCTTTGCTGATTGAGAAAGTTAGTATTATCTTGAATCAGCTCTGTTGAGTTCTGTGCCAGACATGGACTTTATGGAGGCTGTGCTCTCTGATTAGAAGAGCTTGTTCATGAATTGATAGAATATCCAACCCAGTTGGCATTATACATTTCTGCAAACCACCAGAACGTTAAATTTTTAGGTTTCGTATGATTCATACCTCCAAATCTGAGGCCTTGGTTCTCTGCAGGAAGCCAGTGGATTGCCACCCCTGAGTAAGGAGAGAGTTTCTGCCTCAAGCGAGGGAGTTCATGTATCTCGGGGTCTTGTTCACGAGTGAGGGTAGAACGGAGCGTGAGATGGATCGGCGGTTTGGTGCAACTTCTACAGTGATGCAAGTGCTGCACCGTACCATTGTGGTGAAGAGGGAGCTGAGCCTGAAGGTGAAGCTTTGGATTTACTGGTCCATCTACGTCTCAACTCTCACCTATGGTCATGAGCTCTGGGTAGTGACTGAAAGAATGAGGTCGCGGATACAAGCAGCCGAAATGAGTTTCTTCCGTGGAGTGGCTGGGCTCAGCCTTAGAGATAGGGTGAAGAGCTCGGACATCCAGAGGGAGCTCGGAGTAGAGCTGCTGCTCTTTCGTGTCGAAAGGGGTCAGTTGAGGTGGTTCGGGCATCTGATCAGGAACCTCCTGGGCGCCTCCTGTTAGAGGTGTTTCGGGCACTGGTAGGAGGCCCCGGGGCAGACCCAGAACACGCTGCAGGGATTACATATCTCATCTGGCCTGGGAACGCTGTGGGGTCGCCCAGGAGGAGTGGCGAAGGATGGATGAATCATATCACCACTTTTAAAGTGATGTAGTACATGAGATGACTTTGTTGTCAGGAGGTGGAGGAGATGATGTCATGTAGGCGAGATGCCTTCCAAGCTGCAGACCACTGCTCAAGACCAACACACAAACCCGCTGATTTTTAGCGAGTCGTCGCTGTGTTTTCAACAACTTTTTAGCCACCAAACACTGGTGTTTTTAGTGTCTCGTCAGTGTGTTTCCATCAGCTGTCTGTGGTTGTTTTTTACAGCCATGGCTGTGTTTCCTGCCAGGATTGTGCCACCAAATATTGCTGTTGTTTATGCACCTAAACCTGGCCACCAATAACCACAGCGTTGTTGAAACAACAAAGTTTTAGTATAAAGTTTCCATGCATCCGCTACATAGTAATATGCAAATGTAACGTATCTGTGGTTTGCAGAAACGTAAAATGCCAACATTTCCTTCTGTTGACTGAGCTGGAATATCTTAATTTTCAGACCAGTAAGGAGGTGACGATATCCCACAGTTGTGCCTCCTCTACTTGTTGAACCTCACTTGTGTGCTATCAAATCCGATTTCTTCAATCACTACTGTCTGTTGAATTTGATAACCCGTTGGAGAGGTGACCAAGGAAAAAACAAGCAGTTATTTCCTAGTGATGCAGACTTTTTAAGATTGCTGATGATATAAAACATGAAATGTACTCATCTGAATCAGTTTGATGCTACAAGTCTTTGATCTGACAACTCACACAGTGCCGAACAAACCCAACTTCTCTACACTGACACTGAGAATCCAGTCAGTGTTGATGTTTGTAGGTTGGGACATGTTGTCAAACTGATAAAAAGTTGCCTTTAAGCGAAATGTGCATTTTACTGAAAAATTGAAATGAAATGTTAAGAGTTGAGTCGAGTGTCTGCATCATGAATCTTTAAGGTGTTCGCAAAATGGTGCCATTGTTTTATTTTAAGGAGGCAAAACATGGAAATACACATCAGAGAGACCAAACTACTGGTCTTAACATGAAATCCTGAACTTTTGATGCACATTAAATAATTTGATGAATCAAACTGCACTTGAGTGATTCTTTCAGATGTACAGATTTTTATTTCTTATTGTCACTGTCACAGGGCATCAAAGAATAAACAAAAATAATATGTATTTTATGTGATTATTAATTTATTCCCAAATTTAAACATTTATGGATGAGTGTCAGAAATTTGTCTCCTGACAGTTTGCTGGGAATTAACACCACACTACTCAGAATGCTACCAACATTTCCCTAATACAACAGTGTCAACATGTAAGTTTGTCCCTGATGATAAGAAAATATCAGATAATCATCTGTGTCTTAGCTCCACAGTTACACTTCCTGTGTTTGGGATTTAGAAGCATCTAGCGGTGAGGACAAGAACTGAAACTTCTTCTGTATTTAAAACTAGGAGGACAATGGTGGCAGATTTTAAAATGCAAATCACCCTTTCTATAGCCAGTGTTTGATTTGTCCACTCTGGGCTACTGTAGAAACAACATGGTAGACTCTTAAGGAGGGGACCTGCTCCATAGACCTAAACGTCTCATTCTAAGGTAATGAAAACACAGTGACTCTTAGTTTCAGGTGATTGTACACTAATTAAACTGAGTTATTAAAATAATTATTTCATTTTTGCCGATATATCCACCTAAACCCTTCACAGTGGATCTTTAAAATCTTAACGATTACCTCCAATCATTTTCTTCTTTCTGTCTCTCTTCCCACTCACAATAACTTTGAGCTTTCTAAAATTAGATCTGATCACATAAAGTTTGAGACAGGAAGGACACAAGGTCATGTACCAGCAGTTTGTCTGACAGTTTAAGATTTGACTCAGCTGACTTAAACATCCATCCATCCATTCATCTTTTAATTTTTACCTTTACTTTATATTGACTGCACCTTGTAACTGGTTTCAAAAGGCACGCTATAAATGTAGTTTACTTGTAATGATATCTTTTACACCATGGTATTGCTACTTTTAGTAAAAGACTTCAGTACCTCTTCTCCCACTGCTGAATTGATTTTCATTTAATACCACCATTTTCATCAAACAGAATAAATACCTCCTTTTATTGTCTTCTTTATTTCACATGAAATAAAATGACAGAACAAAAATAATAAAAGAAAAGTTAAATAACAATAAAGATAAAAATTGTAATAATGACAAGTGAATGAAGAAAAAGCAATAAATATAAAGAGTGAGAAATAAATGAACAACAGAAAAAGCTGAGATATAAAGATTTGTATGAAAAAAAGTAGTGTGATTGTCAGACTGTGATACAACAGAGGTGATTAAACAAACTATTATACCCAATATACAACGATATATAAAACACAAGACTATAACTGAGGTGAAACAAAGGTTGAGGAGCTTAAACATTCATGTTGAATAGGAACTCTTTTTACACAACATATGTTGACACGTTGCTCTTTATGTAACACCAGAAACTGAGGCCACAACATGCAGCAAGACGGCCACAGGAACTTTGTTGCATCAATTTGCAAATGTTTGGTGTAAATGTTGCTGAAAGGATTTAAGATTTTGGATCATTGTAAGAAACACGTCACATGTTCTATTTTTATTTTATTTTAGTTACTTGAAGGATAGTCCCTTAAGATGAATCATCTTGTTTTTGAGGGAGTCCTTAACATGTATACAGACAAAACATTGCAACAGCATTACATTACATTACAAGAATCAAATAGAACAATACAACAAAACAGTACATTACAAGACAGTAACATCCACACAATACTTTATTGGCCCAACCGTTCCCTGTCCCCCCCAGCCCATCTAGATTCATAAATATACATGAATGGTATTATATCCATCATATTATATACCCATCATCACATACAATACATTCATCGTCAGGAAGATGTCATTTTCCACAGTTCACCACAGATATTTATCAATATTTGTCAGAAACATAAACAGGGTTTTTGTAAATGAATAAAGAGGGATTTCTTGAAGAGATGAAAAGAGGTGATAGATTTTAAAAAATTAGGCAAAGTATTCCAGTCTGATGGAGCTTTAAACTGAGAGGAAAATCGGCCAATTTCCTTCTGGATTCTCGGAACAAAGAAAAAACAACTGTCAGTATGGCGTAAATAATGCTGTGAGCTGTATGGGATCAAATATTGTTTTAAGTACGGGGGGTAATTATAATAAATACATTTGAAAATAAACTGCAGCCAATGAAATTGTCTTCTGGACTCAGGTGTTAACCAATTTAGAGAATGATACGTAGTGCAATGATGAGTTCTGAATGGACATCTTAGACTAAATCTGCAAAGGTTGTTGTTGTGTAGAGGATAAGTTGGTTTCTGAAGTGTTCTGATATACAATATCTGCATAATCGAGTATAGGGAGAATAAGCTGTGTAACAATCTTTTTCCTAATCTGTAGAGTGAAGCAGTTTATTGAGCGATACAGTAAACCCAAGCTGCAGTTTATTTTCTTAATAACTGAGTCAATGTGTACTTTAAAGGTAAGTTGAGAATCAAGCCAGACACCAAGATATTTGAATCGATCTATTTCCTCAAGAGGAGTACCATCAGGATAATTAATGGATAATTTACCAGAATGTAAAAGTTTCTTTGACTTATATTCTTTTAAGTCAGTAATACTACATTGAATTACAGTGATATTTGAATATAATGCACATTATCTTCCCATTAAAAGTCACTTATGTCTAGCTGCCGTCATTTAAATTTGATTACACTGATAGATGATTAAATTGCCCACAGTGAATCAGCTAGGCTGGGCTTTTTGTGTATATTCTGTGACTCCTAAACTCTAGAAATCATTAGTTTTTACAGGATTTGGCTGCTCATCTGAGAGTGAATACTAACAACTGTAGAAGATATAGTCTGATTCGTCATCATTTGTTAGGTCTTCACCTTTCACACCTTCAGGCAAACTGGACATCTATTCAAAAAGACATCTGACAAATTTCAAGAAGACACAATAATGAAAACACAAATCGTCTTAAAGCTATTTGAAGATCTGTTAATATAGCCTATTATTGCTTTATATTGATATCTTTTAAACTGAGATGTAGTTTTGGATGCAACACGAGGAGAAAGAATATGTTAGTAATGCTAATTAGACCTTATCAGAACATCGCTCTCACAGACAAATTTGTTTTGCATTATACTCTCTGCTGGGTCCCAGTTGGCTGTATCACTGCTCCTGGGGATCATCAGTGCGCATGGACCAGGGGTACCAAGTTGCTCCAGCATCCAGAACCTTCAGACACACCACATAAACATCACTACCTGTAATATTATTCCTACTACTGCTAATAAACCAACAGAACAAAGTGTTAAAAATAGCTACAGAGGGCAAATGTGGAATTAGATGGTCAAATTCTGGTTATTTCTGAGCATGTGAGGACCTCCTGTCCATGCTGGCTTAAAGCCTGAGTGTAAAAGAATCAATCTAAAAAACTTGCGGCAACTATTCAGCCTAAAGGTTAAGGTTCAGTGTGTAAGGTTTAGGGGGATATATTGGCAGAAATGGAATATACTATAATAGGTGTATTCTCTTTAGTGTATAATTACCTGAAAATACATGCTACATACAAAGCGGATCTTTATCTATGAAGAACACCATAACCCTGTTTCCACTGAGCAGAACAGTATGGTTCGGTACGCTTTTTTTCCATTTCCACTGTGAAAAGTTGTGGATGGTACCAATGGAACGCTTATGTACCGTCCCCATGTTTGGTCCACCCCTCTGTTGGGGTACCTAGCACACAGATCTGGTACTAAAAGGTGGAGCTGTGAACACTGCAGTCTGATTGGTCAGTAGAGGACGGTCACTCTGCTCAGGGCTGAGCTGTGTCTGGTTTTGAGGCTCATGAAACCACTGTTCATACTGTGGAGAGTTTAATTAGTAAACTGTAACTATAAAATGAAAGGATGTTTTGCTGCCTCTCACAGCAGCTGGAGTCTGAGAAAAAATAACTTAATTCACTGGGCCGACTGCCGGAGACTTTTAAGGTGGAACGTTAACTTGTAATGTTACTCAATGCATGAGTTGAATCAGTCAACACACCTTAAATTTCACTGTGACAACTTTGACCATTATTTTAGTTTTTATATAGAAAACACTTTAGTAATGAGTGGATCTTCAAGCGTTTATATATTTTAATTTCAGCCGGGTTATGTGAACTGCATATATTGTAATCCTCACTCAGAGGCTCCAGCAACACTAAACCCCTGAGCTTGCCTGAGAAGGACTAAATGCACAAACCCGCTATTTTTAAATATCCCATGGAGAGAGACTCTCATTGCAGCCTGTTTTATTTTGTCCTGAAAATGTCGACATGTAACCTCGTTATGTTGACCGTAAACGAGGTGCAGACTTCCATCTGTGTCACCAGTAATGAGGAAATACAGTGAGTGCTGGATGGAGCAGCGAGTGACAACAACCCCGCCCACATTTAAGAGGACTGTTTGTGGTGGAAACACTAGGGTCTAGGTACCATGTCTGAAGGGTTACTGTTGGTTCCAAAGGTACCATACTGAAAGTGTTTGGTGGAAACTGGGCTTATGTTGCACCGTCGTGTTTTTACAGTTGCCCAAAATGGATTAACCAAACACTGGCTTCAGATGGCACCATTCGTGTTTCTGCGTTTTCGAATCGGCCGCTGTAGTTAGAAGCCCGACTGCAATGTGCAGAACGGGAGTCACAAAGATTTGTAACGTGAAAATGCTTAATTACAGTAAGTGTTTCTAGTGGTTTAAATCACCTTGTTCATTTGATTTGGAGAGAGACCACTGTAGATAATTTGGCTTCTGTTACAAAACCTCCTGAACGTCTGGATCTTATGTTAAAAGAGAAAAAAAGGTGACCGCACATTAGCATGTGTTGGACGAGCTGCCTACAGCGGCATGTCAAACTGTGCTGGAAATACATTGATTTGTAATGTGAAACTACTTAAGTCAGTGTTTTTACTGGTTTAAATCACCAGATCTGTTTGTTTTGGCGAGGACGAGACCTTTGTGGAAAATTCCTGAATGTCTGGAACAGGAAATGATGAGCACACAAAAGCATGTTATGGGCAAGCCCCAAGATGCCGAATAGTGTCAGAGATGCACTGATTTGTTGCATTAAACTGCTTTATTCAGTGTTTTTAGCTGTTTTAATTGCCTGGTCTGTTTGTTTCAAAGAGCAAGAGATGTCTGTGTATAATTCAGCCCCTAATAAAAACCTCCTGAACAATGAACACTGGGAGAACTCTGACCAGGAGAAGTTTTTAGCTGGTTGCAATCTGCAATCCCCCTAAATCTTACACACTTCACTTTTAAATTCCTTTCCTAGAGCTATTAGATAATTTGCAGATCTCTCATGTGAGATGTGGTGAATGTTCATGAGGCTGAAATGAGTAAATTCAAATGTTTATTTAAAAAAAAGAGTCTCTTACTGTAGAGTGTCGTTATGTCCATCAAGCCAGACCCAGTTTTTGTCTTTGTTTTCATATAACCCGATCCAGTATCCATGAAACTTGTCGTAGTAGTACTTGATTTGAGTACTGATGAATTTCTGCAGGTCATCAAAACATTCACGCTTATTGACAAAGATTGTGATCAGACATTAACTTTTTAACTGCATTTTGTGTGAATGTGTGCTTTTTGTTTCCTTGGTTCAGCTGGCTTTATGGTGTTAAAACTCACCTGCTCAGCGAGGCTATCAACTACAACCAGATCTGCAGCTGTCTTCTGGCAGTACTCTCGGCTCTCTTGCCATGTCTTCCATGGATACTTTTTATTGTAAAACAGGTAGCACTTTTCCTGAAACAGAATCCAGTCTTTCCGACACGGCTGACACTCTGCATTCATGGCAGAAAAGCAGAGAAATGGAACAAGATGTTAGATTAAAGGCACAAATACAAAAACACAAATACAGTTTGAAAAAAGTTTAAGGTCCCAGTGACATCAGACAACATAAAACACTACTTGCATCATAATTTATATTAGTGGGTTGAGAAGAACTCTGTTATGGTCACTTCAGCAAGACACACTTACCTTTATTTGGGCAGTATTCGTTTACTGGAAAGGTGTCAAACTTCAGGATGACTCCCAGCGTCCAGCTGAAATTGTCTGTGACTCTGCTCAGCTCCTCTGTCTCTCTCTGTAAGATGCTCCGCTCCGTGTTCAGCTGCTGATTTTGGGCCTTGAGTTCGCTGAGATTGACTTTCTGTTTGTTTATTACCACACTGACTGTGGTGAGAATGAGGAAGAGACATCAGTCAATCAATCAGTCGGTCGTGGATGCATTGAGTGTTATCAGAGAAGCATTATTTTCCATACTCTACTTCCATGTTGTGTTGGACCAACTACTCAAAACAGAAATAAAAAGTAAAATAAAGACACTTAAACGGCAGCAGGCACAATTCAGAGAAATCTGAACTCACGTTACCTAGCTATTTTTTTTCTGTTGGTAGAAGACATCCCAGACTGACTCAGTTTCTGCAAATGTGATAAAAGCTACTATGTTTATCAACTGAAAGTTACTCAGTGTGTTGACGTGAAACTCACTGTAGATGATGGCACTGATGCCCGCCACCAGGAGGAGGCAGAGTATCCCCAAACACACCGCCAACACACGAAAGTGAGAGCATGCAGCTGCTTCACCATCTGCTTCTGAGGAGAAAGCTCGTATTCAAATCACTGTTGTAACTATGATCAAATCATTCATCATTAGCATTATTATGGTTGCATGGAAAAATATATAATACATTGTTTTTACATGTTTTTTCTCCTTGTCTTTGGGATTAGGAACTACTGAACAACTGTGACATACTCTTCATGACCAATATACGTTCTGACATATGACTATCATTACTTTTATAATCACACAGGACATATTAATAAAATGAATGATGGCAGTAAAGCACTTTTATTGCATCTCCTGATGCAGCCTGACCCATGTTTGAGTTATACTTCCAAGAACATTGCATGCAATAGTCCACCTTCTCTCTCACACACAGGCAGTGGTGCTGTTCTTACAAAATCAGATTCAGATGATTGATTAGTGTACACAAACATGATAGATTACTATAACACCAACCCCCCACCTCCTGTCCTGTCACATCAAAGCTTCGAATAGCACCATGTCATTTTTATTGAAGCTTTGAAGCCCCAAAAATGGTATTTGGGGCAGCCCTAATTATTATCTTTATATATATTACATTAATTACAACAGTGGTGCAGTGGTTAGCATTGTTGCCTCAAAGCAAGAGGGTTCCTGGTTCAAACCCAGGGTGGGGGAGCCCTTCCCTGTCAGCGTGGGTTTCCTCCAGGTGATCCAGCTTCTTCCCACAGTCCAAAGACATGCAGGTTAACTGGTGACTCTAAATTGTCCGTAGGTGTGAATGTGAGTGTGAATGGTTGTCTGTTTCTATGTGTCAGCCCTGTGATAGTCTGGTGATCTGTCCAGGGTGTACCCTGCCTCTCCACCATCAATGCCCTGGCATGTTCTGACTGTGATGATCACTCACTGACTACTTTACATGCACAAAGTATGCTAGTTTTGCCTTCATTCTGAGAAAGATAATATTCCTACAAAACTGTTTACATACATATAATGACAAAGAATGTTCCACTAATATTCCCATTAACATGCAGCTGTGCATACTCTGATTAACGTGCCCTAATACGATGTTTATCACCTCAAAATATAGAAAAGTTGAACAGCTGGAACCACTATTGCTATTTTGCTTCTTCCCACTTTCTTTTCCTCTTTCTTTCCTTCAGCCACCTTCTTGAAAAGATTAGAGGTGTGCATATCCAAAGTGCGAAGTCTTTCCTCAGGTTTAAAGGAAGACGTGTTTCTTCTTCCAACCAGAAATGTGGGCTTTTCTGTTGTGTACATTGTGTCCATGACAAAGCACAGAGCTGACTGTAAACAGACAAGAGGCTATGTGTTGTGAATTTTGACGCCCACTCTTTAGATGGCACCCTTGATAGCCACCTTTATTGCCTATCTTACTATATCTTATCTTACTATATAATGACGAAAACTCTGTCTGTCTGTCTGTTCCATGTTTTTCTCCTCACTGACTTGGTCAATCCATGTGAAATTTGGCACAGTGGTAGAGGGTCATGGGAGGATGCGAATGAAGCAATATTACATCAATTGGCCAAAGGGGGGCGCTATAACAACTAATTGAATTGGCAAACTTTGAATGGGCATATCTCATGCCCCGTATGTCGTAGAGACATGAAACTTTGCACAGAGATGCCTCTCCTCACGAGGAACAGATTTGCCTCAAGAACCCATAACTTCCAGTTATACAGATTTTCCGCCATTTTGAATTTTTTGAAAAAAATCGATATCTTCCTAGGAAGTTTGACCAATCTGCATGAAACTGGGTGAACATAATCTAGGGACCAATATCTAAAGTTCCCTCTTGGCAAAAGTTGGAAAACTTACTAAAACTGAGCTTCTATAAGGCAATGAATATTGCGGAGGGCGTGGCTCATCACATAAAGGTGTATAACATCTCAAGGGTTTCACCAATCACCACGCAACTTTGTAGGCATATGACCACACATAATCTGAGGGGACCCCTCCATTATTGACCCCATCAAACAAAATGGGGGCGCTAGAGAGCTAATTTCTTATCTAGGCCTAACCGCCATATGGATTTTTACTAAACTTGGTAGATATGTAGAACAGGACGCCTCAAGGTGACTGGAGAAATTTAACTCTAATTGGCAACTGGGTGGCGCTATAACAACAGAAACATGCTTAAAAATGGCTAAAATGCGACGATCGATGTGGCTCCCCCTGTGGCCGAACGTTGGGGGGTTTTTTTCTAATTTTTGGCGTGACTAAGTCATGGAATGGTATGCTGCTGCAACAAGGGCTAGCCGCACCTTTCCCATGTGAACTACCAGTGCGCCCCACTTTTAAGTCGATACAACATATAAACACTTTAACTATCTGCCTTTCAACGTGCTACCTCAACTACTAATGTACAGTTTTAGCCCACTAACTATCCCACTATTGGCAATGGTACTACTGTACTTTCAATAAAGCAATCGTACTATCAAATTCACAAAAACTCTGTCTGAATACATTGCTCTTCTTAATGTGTTCAGTTGACTATTTAATCTGCAGTTTCCTGTGACCTGTATCCCACACATACCATATGAAACTGTATGTAGGTAACTGTGCACTCAATGGGTATGGACTAGTATCATATAATCTTTGATATTGAACAGTTCGACTGATGAAATGCAAATAAGACAACGGAATTTAAAACTTACTTGGTACAGTAGCAGCTGTCACTTTAGGTTTCACCTCAGAATAAATTGTTGGGTCCTCTTTTTTCTCTGAAAGACACAAATAACAACACGAGGGAATGATTGAATTAATGATAATAACTGTTCACAATGTCACAACGAAACATGTTTGTGTGATGTATATAAAGTACTCCCCGCTGAAACAGGAAGTAACATAACACGCTAATTATTTATAAAAGTGACCATAAGTGTTATTGGTTTGGAGGGGTCAGATGTTAGGAGGGATTTTTTTTAGGTCAGCTGGTGCTGCATGAAGTAACAGTTTTGCTTTGGTTTGATGCACGTGACTAAGTGTGCTCTGAAAAGTTCAAATTAATTTACTTTTAATGATTTCTGCTTGTCTTCACATTGCTCTTTTTACTTCTCACAAAGCGTGGTTTGCAAAACACTAGACATAAGAACAGATTTCACCGAAAAGTCTTCTGCTCACAATAGTCGCAGTCTTGTTTTCTGTTGTGTGTGTTATATAATCAGTATAAAGTTGCGTATAAAAGGACAAAGCAGGCTGGTTAGCTTCAAAACAGAGGCAAAGAGAGAAGAAAATGCAGGTGTGGAGTAGGATTTCGTGACTAAGGTGGGAAGTGGAGGGGCAGCAGTTGTCCATTATTATATACACACTGGACAATGTGAGGTTCCATCAGACTGCAGTGAGAGCTTCCACATACATCTACGTAACCTCAGTTTCTCTTCCTCAATGAAAGTAAGATATTTTTGGGGCTTGGCCATGGTATGCAGATTTAAAATCCCACATCTCAGGTTAAATTGATGCAAACCTTAACAGGTGTCTGAGCAGGGTAGCTATTACAGTAGGTGGATGGAAATCTATGACGGAAATATGACCGATAATCTATAACCTGATGTAAATGACATGCAAGTAAAGAGGCTGTCCGAAGTATCGGGATTTGTTGATCATACAAAATTACAGCAGGTTTCAACAGGTCTGTCTTGAGAATGATTGTAGTTTGAAGGTCTTTTTCTTTTTGCTGTCTTGAGCGAAGAGTTTTTTGTTACAGTACTTTGTGTTTAGACACCAGCCTGTGATTTATTGTGTTGTTTCTATGAAGAGATAAAAGCACAACACCTTTTGGAGCATTAGCCGTGGTGGTGTTTGTGTCACATATTCCAAAAACAGGCTTTTTATACCAATGGAGAAAAAAATTCAAGAACTGAAAGTCATAATGTGGAATAAATTATACTGTATGTTATGGCAGGGAACTGTAGGGGTCATAATGTGACTCTTCCCAACAGAAGCCTTAAAACGATGTTAAATAGTCTAATAACAGTGTGCTTCATTTAAAAGATAAAAAAAAAAGTCACTTACCTTTTGGAGCTGTATCAGCATTTTTAAAAACAACCGTAGAATAACAGATTTCTTCCTCCATCCCTAAAATTAACAGATTGCCGTACTTGCTTTAGTGCAGAGAATGAGTGTGTGAGTGACTGAACAAAATTTTACAGCACCACCTCAGGGAGAACCAACAAGAGGTTCCTCTTCCCCCTGACAGTTTACTAACTGCAGCCTTTGAGTTTGCATTATGACATGTCTAACGGACAACCTCAAACAGAGATGCTGGAGGTCCGGTGTGGCTTTATGGCCATTGATTACACAAGATGTCTGTATTGTGTGTTCTCGGAAGTATGTCTGCTTCTGTAATGAGCAAATGTACACATGATGAAAGAAGTTGACACATGTGAGCATTATCTAATACTGAATTTAACCTTTTAACCTGTTGTGTTTGGATTTCTTAATTGATGGTCAGTGTGGTTGTAATGCACTCTATATGGTGAAGGGTCATCTTTGTGTCTACACTGGTGTATTGTCTTCATCGTTGATAAGAATGATACTGAATCAGAATCTGTCATCATGCTGTAAAAGGAAAAGGCTGGCGATTTAATTTATTTTTTTTACTGTCAACAAATCACATGAAAAGACTCAGACCTACAATTTGTTCTTCCATATCCCACTACGTTCTGACTTTCCTCCCCTGTCTGTAGCACTGAGTTTATTTAAAAGTGAGCCACATATATGATTTCATTTTCACTGTAGTTGTCAGCAAACGTTACTCAAACAGGAGTAAAACATGCATTTGTTGGGGGACTATTTTCAGTGGTGGATGAATACACATTTGATGCTATAAAGCCCTAGTCACTAACAGGAGGACAGCGGTCTGAGTCTGGACCCAGACGCCGACCTATACAGACCCGGACTTATAACCAGTAAATAATTATGGGAATTTAAATTTTGACGGGACACTTCTATTTTAACCGGCGCAACTTTTCTTGTCTTTACAGCACCGGTTTAGCTGATCAGGAAACGCACAGTCCAATTGCATGCGAAATAATCATCCCACATGATGCCACCCAGCCAATCAAATTGCTCAAATCACAATTGATTAGCATTGCGACTCTGTGTACAGTCAGATGAGAGACGTGAAGGGCGAGTTACAAGCAGAAAGATGATAGAAAAATGTAAATATAGAAAAAGAAAGAAAGCGATACAGGGAGAGAAGACGGAGAGGAAGAGACGAGTGAGCGAGAGACAGGGAGAGAAACACAGAGGAAGAGGCGAGTGAGCGAGGGACAGGGAGAGAAAATTGTTATTATTTTTTTATTGTAAAAGCCCTTCTGTCTTGAGCCCTTGTGTGCGGAGTTTGCATGTTCTCCCCGTGTCAGCGTGGGTTCTCTCCGGGCACTCCGGCTTCCTCCCACAGTCCAACGACATGCAGGTTAATTGATAACTCTAAATTGTCCGTAGGTGTGAATGTGAGCGTGACTGGTTGTTTGTCTCTATGTGTCAGCCCTGTGATAGTCTGGCGACCTGTCCAGGGTGTACCCTGCCTCTCACCCAATGTCAGCTGGGATAGGCTCCAGCCCCCCCGCAACCCTCAAGAGGATGAAGTGGTTAGAAGATGAATGAAGATGGTTGAGACTGTTACGTCAAGATGTGAAACAGTTAACAAAGAAAAAGGAAAATTCAAGCTGTTGCTGCACTTCATTTTATTTTTTCTAAAATGAAGCACTTTATTTTGAGATGCACAATTTTTCAAAAACTATTTCATTTATTTTCTCCATTTTATTTTTAAATGCATATCTTGTGTCAGATGTTGATTGCATGCAGATGTTGATACAACTACTAGGCTACTTCAGTATATATCACACTAAATCATATCGCAAGTTAGACATTAGGATGTTCCGAACGTTTGCTTTAGGAAATTTTCTCAAACTAGACCTCTTTGAATTTTAGTTGAATACCCCTGCTATAAAGATTATCTATGGCAGCAAGACTGAATATGTGGTGTTTTTAATTATTTAAAGCCCAGTTCAGACCAAAGCACACTGCTACCTTGAATGGGGTTAAAATGATTTAATCTTGCAGCTCTTTTAGACTTTCCAAATTATTGGAGCAAATGGATTCAATCTTGATAGCGGGGGTTGTGACGCCCCCAAAAAATTATCCACTGATTTATAGACGTCTCTTTCCCAATGTAAGTCTATGGGGAAAAGTCTTTTTGGGCCCAGTGGCATCACGTGATGGACCCTGCAAATTGCAGTACCACTGTTTGACCACTATGAAAATTGGCTTCAAAGCCTGGCGCTGTTCCTGTTATGTGTGGGAGTATTTCTTGGCTGAGACTTTCTGGAAATGCAAAAGTCCAGTCAAATGTAAACAGTGCCAGGCTAGCCATTTCCCCTTATCTGCAGTCCTTGTGCTAAGCTAGGCTAATCATCTCCTGACTTTAGCTTCATATTTAACTGACACACACATGAACATAGTAGTCATCTAGTAGTAGTATCTTTTCATCAAAAGCTCAGTTCAGACCAAAGATTTGTGACGAGACGAAACAGTTTAAGAATGTCACAGAGAAAAGTTGCAGCAGTGTGAACTGGCTGTCTGAGCTCGACTCAAGCCGGCTTATGGTGTCACCTGCAACTCAGGGTATAGGCGTACCCAAAAAAGTGGCCACTGAGTGTACATGTATGTCCAAGGAATATAAACAGATTAAAACATTTATGCACCACAAAGTAGGCCTAGATAGATGATAGATTATCTTTATTGACTTTGCTTTCTTATCTCTCTAAAGGCCCAGACACACCAAACCGACCTCAGAGAACTAGCGGCGAAGAAGGTCTCCTGCTGCGTCACCGGACATCACTGTGTCTCAGCCAAATGAGTTGCATATGAACACACCGCAAAAATTCCAACCGAAGGTCAGCTAGCACATATGTTCTGCGCCTGTGTGAGAAGAAATAACTCTCCACACCAGCAGATGGCAGTAGTCTGTACTCCCTATTCAAAAAGGGAAACCAGAAAACTGTCTTGATGGTAGTTAGCCAGTTAGCAAATGAACACAATCCGATGCTGACAGAACAAAGCGTATTTATTGTGCGCCACTGCAAAATAACACAAACCACCACAAAATATTTCTGCTTGTAGCTAAAGAAAAATAATCTGACCTTATGTAACAAGTTTGTTTTGACCTCACTCCCTCTTGATTTTAGCTGATTGTTTACATTCCTCACTTCCATTTCTTTTATCATATGCTGAGCTGAACAGCCAATCAGAGTATCCCTCTCACTGACAGGCTTGGCTGCCGTTTCAACATGCTGAATCGACCAAAAAAAAACAGCCAACAGGGGGTGACAGCAGGGTGACAAGTTGTAATGGTGCAGGACACAGCGCACAGACTGGGGCAGCAGAAGCTAACCAATGGGCTAGCTTTGACTGGTGGTGTTTGGTGATTTGTGTGTCACGGTTTTAATATATACATACATATATTCAGGCCATATATGCCACATACAGTATTACTCAAAGGTACACTCTGCAGAACTGTGGTGAATAAATTAGAAAAGAACAAAAAAGTGCTTAAGCTTACTTATCTGTTTTAAAAAAACAGTAAAGGCAACATTTATCAGTTTTGACAAACAAAAAACAACTTCCATAGATAGATATATTTCTTAAATGTTCTGTAACCTATTTTCATAATGCATCTGATTCCTAATCTGGTTTGATCAGAGCTCTTGTTTCACAGATAAAGCGGTTATACATGTTACAGCCCATTTTGACCCAGTTGGCCAGAGGATCTGTTTGTGGCAGAGTGAGAGCACAAGATGCCCACTTCCCAGCTTGTTGTGTTTTCCAGTACCTGGATAAAAAAGAAAGAAAGAAAAGAAAACAATTACATGATATCAATCTGATTGTCCGCTTAACATTTTGGGAAATGCATTTATTTGCTTCATTGTTGAGAGTAAAGTCCAGTTCAGACCAAAGATTTGTGATGCGCCGAGTTGAAAAAGACAACTACCTTCAACGTTCTAAAATCCTGTCGGTTCACACCGATGCAACTAGATGAGAAGGTGTATCATCTCTATGCAACAACTCTCTGTACTTCTGTTCTGATTTGCAGCTTTTCAGGCTTATTTTGTGGCTGAATATAATTTATAGCTTCTTAAAATATGAATGAGGATAGTGATAGTGAGGTACTGGCTACAGCTGCATTTGATGATACGGCGAAAAACAGAAACAAAATGAGCATCAGATGGACTGTAGTCATAATAAATATGCCACAATAATATAAATAACCAGCGCCATTTAAAGCTCCAGTAGGCAACATTGTTTTGGTATAATTGAGTAAAAATGTTATAATATCCTCTAAGCCAGGGCTCGCATTAACCGGATATTCTCGGTCATTGACCATTTTTTTTACAAACAATGACCGGAAAATCTGAAGGCCGTCCGTCATTTTGACCGGTTGCAATTACCACCCCTGACCACTTGGCGGCGGAGTGCACAGTCAGTGGTTTAAGTGGCTGCCGTTTTCACACTGCAGAGAAAAAGTCATTCCTCTGCTTCATGTAGCTGTTGACATAACGGCCTGGACACACCGGACGTGGAACCGAAGCGCACTGCCCAGCAGCGGAGGCAGTTTTCAGTCAGCGCCCATGTTAACCTATCTGACTGTCCGCACAGGCCGCTGAGCAGAGTGGAGCGCCCGCGGAGGCAGCACTTCACTTAGGCATCTGGTCTATTTTTCACGCAAGCCGCGAGCGCTTCTGTCAAGCTGGATAGAGCGGATCGTACCAAACAGGAAGTCGGACACAGAAAAGATGAGAAAATCCGGCCAATTTTCAAAATAAAATAACAGCACGCACTGAGGAAAGTGAGGAGAAAATACCATGTTTATAATTTAAAATAACACAACAGTATATAACCGAACACATTTTTCAATACCCACTTCATTACAATTTTAATTTTGTGTCACCGAGCCTTCAGGCATAACTACATAAAGCCCTGGACACACCAGACGCGTTAGTGACGTCCGGTGTGTCCAGGGCGAAGCCTAATGGCACGGGTGTGTGGATGTCTGTTCATCTTTTCGTTCATGTCCTTATTAATGCACACTTTATAACTTGCTTGTTGGATTTATTAAAAACGAACGAATGAAAACTAAATGTCTTTGAATATCTTTATAATCATTTAAAAACGAAAATTAAAATGACTGGTAAAAATAGATTATGACTGGATTTTTATGACCCTGTCGGTCAAAATGACAGGCGACGAAAAAGTCTAGCGCAACGTCTGCTCTAAGCATAATGTAAATCAAGTGGTCTGAGACAAACAATAGGTTACTGCACCTCACCATGGCTCTGTGTTCAGCATCTAAAGAATCAGTATCGTGCCGATGTGCATCAACCAATCAAAGGTCAGCTCAGACCACTGCGTTCCTATTGGCTGTTCTACTGCATATGCGCCTTCCCGAGCCTCGGGAATATGTGCGGGGCCGCGAGGGAGGGATGGGGCGGGCTGCTGCGCGGTGAGGGAGAACAGAGGCTCCCAGAGAGGGAGAAATAGAGCCAAATAGGATAAAATACTTGCGTGCTCGTCTGGTAGGAGGGGCTCAGGGTGGAGACGAACGAAACCTAACTCAGATGAGACTCAAAAATCAACCGTTTTCAGGCTTTCTACCTACTGCAGCTTTGGAATCATGATGAAGTCATGTGTCTGAATGACTGCAGTCATGATTCACTGAGGTTAAAGAGACATATGTGGCATCTTTTGAGTGACATTGTGTATGTGGTTTGTTTTGTGCTTACATCACAGTGAAGTTGGTTCCATCTACCCACATCCACGTGTCCATCTTGCGCAAACCGATCCAGTAGCCGTGGTTGTCATCATGGTAGTATTTTGTGTGGTTATTGATGAATTCCTAAATTTGTGAAACAGGTTTTAATTACGAAAAAAAAAATCTTTGTGTCTGTGCTATAATAAGATAATACAATGATTTCTACAGCACATATGGGACAAAAAGATACACAACAGTCTGCCATACAAAGATGAAAAACACACATGAAAAGAGATATGCAAAAATTGAAAACACAGCATAAAAGATTTAGGACATAAAAGAGATCAGTCTTGCCTGCTCTCCCTGGCTTTCAATCACCACCAGATCTGCATTTGTTTGTCTGCACTGGTCTTGGCTTCCCTGCCAAGTCTTCCAATGGGAGGAATAATCAGAGGTTGAAAACAGGTAACAGTTTGACTGAAACAGCACCCAGCCGTCCAGACAGGGTTGACACACTGGAAAACAAGAAGGACAAAACAAAATCATATCACATTTTTTTCTTATTAAAAAATAAATATTATAAAAGTAGAATTTGCGCCTCCTGGCCGTATGCCTCTGCCAACCAGTCAAGCTAGTGCATTGGTTGTTGACGTTCTGGGACGTCGTGTCAAGTTCTGCCTGTTACATGCATTGTCTTCTTACAAAATACACTTCCGTTTTCACAGGAAATTTAACATTTACATACAGTCTCTTTCAAAATAAACGCACTACGTCAGCACAACACCATGAATTGATGTTTTTTACCTTCAACAACTAACACACGTGGTTGGGTTTAGGAAAAAAGATCAGGGTTTGGCTTTATAATTTTGGGAGGTGTGAACACTGCTCTCCCTGGTGAAAGTCCCCCAAGTTTCCCCCTGATGCCACTGATTGCCATGAAACTATAACTGTGACCGGTTGCGTAGCAAGCCGACGTTAAAGGACAGCTTTTTTCGCCAGTGTCTGATGCCGAAAGTTACTGCCCAAGCGCTGGATTTCAGTGACTTCAGAGTGAGACTGGACTGTCAGATAAATGTAATGGAATAAAAAGTACAATAGTTCCCTCTGAGATGTGGTGGAGTAAAAACATAAAGTAGCATAAGATGGAAATACTCAGATTTGTACTGAAGTGGGCCTATAGTACTTGTTTAAGTTTCTTAGTGACATTCCACCATTCATGAAAATGTTTCACCTCTCTGTGGACAGTGTAAGTTCACTGGGAAGCTCTCATATTCCAGGATGACTGAGACGGTCCAGTTGAGTCCGTCTCTCTCTCTGATCAGATCTTTCATCCGTCTCTCTAAGTCGCTGTTTTCTGTCCTCAGCTGCAGATTCTGTGCTGTTAGGTTGACGTATTCTCGGTGCTGCTCTGACATGACTTTGTTGACTGCAGTCAGGGAAGAAGAAACAGTTACTGTTGTACCCACCTGTTATTATTAAACTGCCTTGAAAGTCCTGGAAAACAAGAAGGCAGACTTACAGTGGATACTGACAACAATGGACACCAAGATGGCAAAAATAATCCCCAAACATGCTGCCAGCAGATGAAGCCGAGTACATGGTGGAGCTTTCTTTTCATTTTCTATTAAAAACAAGAATAAAGGCAAATTATTATTCTAATTCATAGCAAATAGTTATCATATTCTATGTTTTTAGTCATGATAAACCACAAATAACCTGGTATGGCAAGATTTGTATTGGATGTTTGCTCCTCCCATTCTGTCACCTTGTCATAGATTATTTCCAGGTCGCTTGGTTTCTCTGCAAGAAGCAAAGGTAATGAAAACACTGGTCTGCAGTGTCTGCATTTCAAGACACAAACGGCCTGTTTACATCTGGTATTAACATACGTCTTGGGTGATTAGATTGGATTAGTACAGGTGTACATGCACCTAATGCATCAGTGTGTCCTCACTGCATCTTGATATCTGATAGCTCAGATCACATTTGGAGGTTTTCTGGGCCACATGTGGTCACAGTGTGTACACTCGTGTCCTGGGCCACACTAAGGGACCCCCTACTCAGCTGACGTCCTTGCTTATCTTATTGAGTATTAAAAATAAACTATGCAGGAATTTAAAAAAACAAAAAACAAAACAATATGTGAACTCACACAAAGGTAACTCCTCTCACTCATTACGTATGACCCACTAGCAGTGTGTGTGGTGTCTGTATCTGCAGAGAACCTGCCCTCTGTGTGTATTTTCTTAGTTTGGACCTTTTAGAAATGGTGTGTAGCTCCCAGCCAATAGCAGCCTGAGGTCAGGACTCTATGAAAACATAGCAGCCAGCCATGTCTCTCCTCTGCTCTGTTGGTGCGAGCTGCAGGTCTGTGTCTGTTTGATCGAGGGCGAGATTGAGCCACACACACACACACAGAAGAGAAGCCAATTGGAGAGGATGAAGCACGCGCTTCAGCTGAATTCACACAAAATCCGCCACTGCAGCACCTCCCTGCAGGGTTGTGCGGAGGTGTGGGTGTTTTTATTTGTGCTTATTTGTGCTTAAGAATGACGTAAAACAATCTCGGTACTGCCGCTTCCTTTAGCCTCAGGTTTAAATTCCCTGATCCGTGTGGTTTGGAGTGCAGGAGACCGCTGCCGAAAATTCAGCTCCTGGTAAAAAACCCTTGAACAATGAACACTGAAGGAATTCTAACCATTAGAAGTTTCAGCTGGTTGCAATCCACAATCCTCACCACTAGATGCCACGAAATCCCCATAAATCTTACACACTGCTCCTACAGAAACTCAAGAGTAAATTTAGGATAGGACTTAAGACTTGAAAAGGTTCAGAAGAATGGATTTAACACAAATACTGTATTTTATTTAGAGTAGTTTACCATGTCACTTTAAAAATGATGATATGATTCATCCATCCATCCCTCTCCCCAGCAACGCTTTCCAGCGGGAGGCGTCCTGATCAGATGCCCGAACCACTTTAACTGACCTCTTTTGAAGGAGCAGCGGCTCTACTCTGAGCTCTCTCTGGATGTCCGAGCTCCTCACCCTATCTCTAAGGCTGAGCCCAGCCACCCCACAGAGGAAACTAATTTTGGCCGCTTGTATCTGCGATCTCATTCTTTCGGTCACTACCCAGAGCTCATGACTATAGGTGAGGGTTGGGACGTAGATGAACCAGTAAATCAAAAGCTTTGCCTTCCAGCTCAGCTCCCTCTTCACCACAACAGTTAGGCGCAGTGCCTGCATCACTGCAGAAGCTGTACCAAACCGCCGATCCATCTCACGCTCCATTCTACCCTCACTCGTGAACAAGACCCCGAGATACTTGTTACATGAAAAAAATCAATCAATCAAATATAATGTTTATTGATTATTATTGGCACCACCTCGGTGTTGCAATGCTAATTCAAACTGGTAAAAAACTGGGTATAGTAACAATATCTGTCAAAGTTTAGGAGAGGAGTAAAAATATATTATATTCCCCTTTTAAATGAAGTGGAGTAGAAGTTTAAAGTAACAGGGGATAGAAAAATGTAAATGCAAGTATCTCAAGAAAAAGTACTTAGTTACTTTCCACCTCTGTCAGCAACTCAGCTACACCATCAAAGTACAATAAAAAAAAAGAGTACATGACTCACCGTGTTTAGACATAGGCCTACTGTTAGTCTTGAAAGTCACCGTCGCATAATGCAGTTCTTCCCCCGTCATCTTATCAGGTTTGTCACAGACAGTTTTCACCTCATCTCAGAAACAGAATCATGAAACTCAAACCACCGCTGTGGTCTAAATGCACGCTTTTGTGAGTGCAGCTTGAGACAGTGAAATGGTTACAAGACCTGCACTTCTGCTTTTGGCAGCAAAATGTTGTAAGAATGACGAAGTTGTTTTTATTTTAGGGGATTTTTTTTTTTTTTTTTTTTTTGACAGGAACAAAGTTTCAGCACACACTGAGCAAAGACCAGGGGTCGTATTCACAAAGCTTCCTGCTGCTAAGAGTCGCTCCTAGTGACGGAATTCTAAGAAAATTCTTGTCATTGTGACACTTCCTTGGAATTTGCCCTTAAAGTTAAGACTAGGTCCTTGTAAAAATAAAAGTTATTCACAGAGCATCTTAGACCTTAAAGAGGGTTAAGAGTTTCTTAAGCAGAGGAGAAAATGATGGAAACACAAAGAGGTCGGAGAAATATTCTCCAAACGCTGGATGACAGTGAGTAAATGAAATGCTTCAGTCTGTCTCAACCTTCCATCAGCAGAGTGACCACAGTAACCATGACAACACTTTCACAGTCAGCAGGTCATCTCATTTCCACTGGGTGTCCACACCTTGCAGGCTCAATAACGGGCATGTGTGTGACAACCAATCACATCTGTTAAAAGAATGCATCACACCTAGCAACAGGAGTCAACCACACCTCATCACTATGTAAAAGTTTCTGTTCATTCCCTGCTCAGAGTTGCTCTGAGAACTTTACTGAATCACTCCTAGGACTCCTTACAAAAATTTTTTAGTTAGGAGTGTATAAACAAAATGACGAAACTGTTTAAGTCGTCTCTTTACTGTTAGTTTTTTTTTTATTTGACTGGTTTTGTTTTTAAGGACATTTATTTGCCTCTCAGCATGTTGAAACACAAAGCAGACATAGTTTAGTTTGGTGGACAACAGAGGAAATCTCTCTGTCGACATGTTCCTGAAGTGATATGGCCCGAGGGATAACTGTCTCCTATCCTTCTTGTTTTGTATGTGAGCCACAAACACAACCTACTACATGAATCCTGACATTGAGTAAAGATGTACACACATATGAAGACGGGGTTTTCCTCATTCATGCAACTCACTGACACTTAAGACCTCTGCTGACTCATGGTTCTCCTCTTCATGTATAATCCAACGCAGTTTATTCTGAAGATCTAAATTTACCAACCAAGGCCAGCAACACCTGTTCATTTTAGAAAAAACACAGCACTGAAACTGCACTTCTTAAGGTTTTATATAACTTGTTACTATCAACCGAGGCTAAAAAAACCCCCAGATAAATAAAGAAATAAATAGGTTACTATTTAATTAAGGTTAAATAGTTTAAAAGATAAAAATAAATAATAAAAATAGTAATAATAAAATTATTATTATTATTGATATTGCTATCATTATTATTATTATTATTATTATTATTATATTCATGGATCAACAGATTTGATGTTTGAGCTAATGTGTTGTATCAGTGATTGTCCAGCAGATGGCGACATAAAACTCTTTTTAATGACATGGAAAATTTGCAATGTAAATTCCAAACTTAAGAAAAAGAAAAACTGTGGGAGAGACTATAAATTTTAATCATAAAGTGTGAAAAAGTATTTCTTTAATTTGAAAAAGCATCTGTAAATCAAGAGAAGTAAACACAAACAAACATTTAAACTAATGCAATCACTTGTTTTTCAGTTTACTTTCACTTGTAAAAAGATTAAATGTCCTGTGTTTTCACCTCGTCATGTGTTTATAAAATGACGTGTAGGACCAACAGTCAGTGACCTTTTCCCCGTGACTCAAAGATCTGGGTTAATTAGTAGCTGACGATAGAAAAGCAATTATCTGCATGAAGAGGTGACTCATGTGCGATAGAGGCAACTGACCAATCAGCGCGCAGGTTCAGTTCAGGAAACGCTCGCTGGTTTCCACCTGCAGACAAGAAGCAACAAGGAGCCGGAGAGCCTCGAGACTGACTCAGTCTCAGTGGGAAATAAGAAATATATTTATATTTTTAAGGACTTCTTCCGGTGAGCAGCGATGGTTTGCGGCGGGTTTGTTTGCACCAAGAACGCACTCTGCGCTCTCAACATACTCTATGTTGTAAGTATGAATTTACGGCTGTTACAGTAAACTGATGGAAGAAATAAGTGCTTAAAAGGCAGCAAGTGTTTAGTCTTTATATCTGTTAATGTAATGCGAAAAGAGGTGGAAATATTTGTTCTCTGAGCAGCTTCCATGTTGAGAAACAGGCAGGTGTTTGTGGTGAGTGCTTAGGCCCAGCTCAGGGCCAGTGTTGGCTGCAGTTTCCAGCCAGGGAAATATCTCATTCATAAATCAGTAACTGTGTAACAATGTGCCAAATATCAGAATATTTTGACTTAAGTGGAAATTTCTAGGAATCTTTATTATTATTATTTTTTTTTTAAATGATAGCCTACACCCGAGTCATTTACTTCTTGCCATGTCCATGACTTATGTTCTATAGTTACTCTGGAGCTGCTGTGTGTGTGCAGAAGTTTGCCTCCTGTTCTGCATACTTAAATATAGGTGCAAAAAATGTGAACATAAACATCTAATTTAAATGAGTGTGTTTTATTAGCAGTTGCCTTTGACTCAGGATCTCAGAGACATATTCATGTTTCTAAAAGTTCTCAGCCGTATCAGAAGACCCAAGAAAATTTGATGGTAGCTGCAACGATTAGTCCATTGACAGAAAATTAATGTGCCAGTATTTGGATCATTGAATAATAGTTTGTTAAGCAAAATTTCAAACCATTTGCTGGTTCGAGCTTCACACACGTGAAGATCTGATGCTTTGTTCTTTGTTGTACATGATTGTGAACTGAAAGTGTTTTGATTGGAGACTGTCAGTCAGACAGAATAAGACATGTGAACAGAGTTGGGGAGCTGTTAACTATAAGTAGCTCAAATACTAGTTTAACTACAATTTGCAGCGGTTGGGTGCAGGGGCAGTTCTAAGGATTTGAGCTTGGGCCTCTGTGGGGTGTCAGGAGGATCCTCCGCTGTGAATTTATTTCATTAACAAGCTTTATTTTAGGCACTCTGGCATCTGATTTACTTAGAAAGGTTTTTTCCAGATGCATTTGAATTGTGATGTTATAGATAGTAGCAGTTGTTAGTAATTAGTGTTCAGTAGAGACAGAATACTTTGCAACTGCTTTCATTAAAGCCCAGTTCGCATGAAAGATTCGTTACAAGACCAAACTGTTCTAGAAAGTTGCAGAGAAAAGTTAGCGGTGTGACTCGACTCAAGTCGGCTGATGGTGTCACCTGCAACTCAGCTGGTCGAATTGCTGGTGATGGTTTTAGAACGTAAAGCACGTCACCTGTATCAGCAGCTAACCGGCTTGTAGTAAAGTCTGATCAAGTCAAAATGACCGCAGATGGTGTGTTTGCTTGCTGCGGCAGGTGCTCCGTCCTTGCCAAGCCCTCTGTTTCCGTCCTCACGCTTTGCCAGCTGTAGCCAGTATCTCACTATCACTATCCTCATTCATATTTAAAGAAGCTATAAATTATATTCAGCCACAAAATAAGCCTGAAAAGCTGCAAATCTGAACAGAAGTACAGAGAGCTGTTGCATAGAGATGATACACCGTCTCATCTAGTTGCATTGATGTGAACCGACAAGTTTTTAGAACGTTGCAGAACTATGCTTTGTAAACAGTTACTTGTTTCAAGTCCTCTACATCTCAGAGGGAAATATTATACTTTTTACTCCACTGCATTCTGCATCACTTATTTGCTTTACTTGTTTTTTGATTAACACAAAATATAATCAACTAAATAACAATGTAAAAGTATAGATTAAACTACCCAGCAGTATATAAAGCATTTAAATGAGCTCCAACTTTACCAGCTGCAACATTAAAGTGACGGCTGATGACCCAAAATACCCTAACTAATGTACTAACTCTACTTACAATCATTTTGTATTAGCATCTTTACAGTACTGTCCTTTACTGCCACATCTTATACACAGATCAGCCAAAATATTAAAACCATTGGTAGGTGAAGTGAATAACATTGATCATCTTGTTATCATCTTGGATCCTGGCATTCATGTGGATGCTACTTGATGCGCTCCACATACCTGAACACTGTTGCAGACCAAGTACCCCTCCTCATGGCAACAGCACTTGTCAATAGCAGTGACATGTAAGACAATACACCATGCCACACCACAAAAACTCTGGAATGACATGAGAAATGGGACAAAGAGCATCAGCCTGGCCTCCAAATACCCCAGATACCAATCTGATCTAACATTTGAGGGACCTTCTGGTACCCCATAGGTACCCCTGATCCATGGTGGATCCTCATTGGACTGGACTTGGCTCTGACCTGTCAAGGCATGGACACAGGACCTCTGGGGGCTGTCCTTTAGTGTCTGGCACCAACGCGTTGGCCTCAGACCTTTTAGGTTCAGTAGGTTGTGAGGTGGGGTGTCACCACGTCCTTCAGATGTTTGATCAGATCGGGATCTGGGGAATTTGGGCGCCAGGTCGACGCCTTGAGCTCTTTGTCACGTTCCTCAGACCATTCCTGAGCAGTTTCTGTGGTGTGGCATGGTGCATTGTCCTGTTGTGGGGAGTGCCATTGCCATAATGAAGGGTGCTTGGTCTGCACTGGTGTTTAAGTGGGTGGAGCATGTCAGGCGGTATCCACATGAATGTCAGAACCCAAGGTGATCAATATGTGTCACTTCACCTGTCAGTGGTTTGAATGTTTTGGCTGATCAGTGTAGTTTACATCAACAGTTGGACATCGAATCCATAAAGACACAGATTGAAGTTTTTGGTTTGCAGAAGAAGTCAAAGTAGTTTTTTCAGCGCTGAGTAAAGCCTGCAGTCTTCTCTCAGAGGACATAAGGCCTCCACTATTAAGGAATGGGAGTTTTCTTTTCCTTTACGTGGCCTGAGAGACGAGAGATTTGAAAGAAACTGAACTGACGCTGCACTCTAGTGACTGCTTTACAAAAGCAGAATGTTGTTTTAGTTTGGACAGCAGCTGCTATATGAGAAAGGTGACATCGATTGTGCTCCCCTCCTCTCAACATTGCTTTCCTTTGTGCTCAGTTGGTGAGTCTGCTGCTGATCGGAGTGGCCGCCTGGGGGAAATGGTTCGACCTGGTCTCCAGCATCAGGGTGGTGGCGGGGGTCATCGGCGTGGGCATCTTCCTGTTCCTGGTGGCCTTTGTGGGGCTGTGCGGCGCTGTGAAGCACCACCAGGTCCTGCTCTTCTTCGTATCCTTTGGTTTGTTTGTAGGAGCGCAGGGAGTCATCTCACACCTTCTGATGGTTGTTGAATGAAAAGTAAATAACCCCAAAGCTCTGAGGATTTTGTTCCTCTCACCTGCTGCGCTTTGTGTTTTAATGCCTCTTGTGAGATTTCAGAATGTTTTTGTGGGTTTTTTTTTTTTTTAAATCCAGTGTGAACTTCCTATACTTGCTCCAGTACATGATAATCCTGTTCACAGTGTTCGTCGTGCAGTTCTCTGTGTCCTGTGCTTGTCTGGCCCTGAATAAAGACCAACAGGTATGTTTACTGTCTGCATACATCACCAGTGATGGCATGTAACTAAGTACATTTACTCAAGTACTGAACACTTGACCCAGAAAATGACCATTTGTATATCAATTACTCACCCCGATGGGTGGATCATGAGACAGTGGGTCCCTGGGCACACACATGTAAAAAGCCCCACCACCTCTCCTACATAGGACTGGAAACACACACAGACTGTGTAGTGATTGTGCCTCTTTTTTGTTGAAGTCATTTTGTGTCTCTTTGTAATTGCTTTGTGTTTCTTTGAGGAACTTCTGTGGGTTTCTTGAAGTAATTTTGAGTGGGGGTTTTTTTTTTGGTGGTTTTGCCCCTTTTTATTGTTATGTTGTATCTTTTTGAGGTCATTTGATGTCTCTTTGTAATCATTTTGTGTCTCTTTTGGTTGGTTTTTGTCTCTTTGAGGTAATTCATTGGGTTTCTTTAGGTACTTTAAGTGTTTTTGGTCGTTTGATGTCTTTTTTGGTTGTTTTTAGGGCTGGACGATATGACCAAAATCTCATATCACGATATAGGTCATTTCATATCCCGATAACGATACATATCACGATAAAGCACATTTTAATCCAATGAATAAAAAGTAGCACAAACACGCACACACCCCCGCTCAACACTGAGGCTGTACTCCGCACCACCTGATTTGGTCTGAATATGGGTTTTGCTGTCATTTGTTGTCGCTGTCTTGCTTGTCTGCTCTTTCTCAGCGCAGCCCTGTGCAGCGCAGCAGAGACAGACAGCGGAGTTACATAAACTTGTTATGTTACTGTAAGTGCTGTAAAAGCTTTGCAAATTAAAAAGCCAAGAAGAGTAATTTATCAATGAGATCCGTGCAAAGATGGACAGACTCCAAATGACGAAAAGTATTGCCGTACAAAGTGTAATTTGCGTCACAACGATATAAACGATAGAGCAAAATATGAAACGATAGACATTTTTCTCTCGTCACATGATATATATTGTCATATCGCACAGCCCTAGTTGTTTTGCCCCTTTTATGGTTACGCTGAGTTACTTTTTGTCTTTTTGTAACTGTTCCATGTCTAAGGAAATTCACTGAGTATCCACAGGTAATTTTCAGTGTTTTTTGGCTGTTTTGCCCCTTTTATGGTTACGTTGTGTTGCTTTGTGGTCATTTTGTGTCTCCCTGTAATTGTTTTGTGCCTCTTGGCAAATTCTGTGGGTTTCTTTAGGTCTTTTTGAGTGTTTTTTTGGTCATTTGATGCCTTTTTTTGGTTGTTTTGACCCTTTTTATAGTTATTTCATGTCTCTCTGAGGACAGTTTGTCTTTGTCTGAGGTCTCTTTGTAAGCATTTTGCATCTCTTTTTGGTTGTTTTGTGTCTCTTTGAGGAAATCCTGTGGGTTTCTTTAGGTAATTTTTACTGTTTTTGGTGGTCTAATGTCTTTTTTGGTTTTGCCCCTTTTATAGTTACTTTGTTTTTTTTTAAGGTCATTTTGTGTCTTTTTGAGGAACTTCTGTGGGTTTCTTTAGGTCTTTTGTGTGTTTTCTGGTCATTTGATGTCTTTTTTGGTTGTTTTGCCCCTTTTTATAGCTACTTTATGTCTCTTTGAGGTCAGTTTGTCTTGTTTGGTTGTTTGACATCTGTTTGTAAATCATTTTGTGTCTCTTTGAGGAAATTGTGTGGGGTTTTTTAGGTCATTTTGAGTGTTTTTTGGTCATTTGATGCCTTTTTTGGTTGTTTTGACCCTTTTTATAGCTACTTTATGTCTCTCTGAGGACAGTTTGTCTTGTTTGGCCGTCTGAGGTCTCTTTGTAAGCATTTTGCATCTCTTTTTGGTTGTTTTGTGTCTCTTTGAGGAAATCCTGTGGGTTTCTTTAGGTAATTTTTTGTGTTTTTGGTGGTCTGATGTCTTTTTTTGGTTTTGCCCCTTTTATAGTTACTTTGTTTTGTTTTTTTTAGGTCATTTTGTGTCTCTTTGAGGAAATTGTGGGGGTTTCTTTTGGTCTTTTTAGGTTGTTTTTCCCCTCTTGGTCATAATTATGTGTCCCTCTTCACTTGTTTTGTATCACCTTGTAGTTATTGTGTGTCCCTTTGTTGTTAATTTGCATCTCTTTCTGGTCTTTTTGTATTTGTTCCTGGTCGGTACATGAGTGACATTTTGGGGGCCATGGGGGCCTTCACTTGCACTTTGGACCCCTGGGCCTGGTAGGCCTGTTCAGTAATCCATCTATGCCTTCACGGTAAATGGAGAATCCAAAAAAGTCGAACATTCATTATGAATTGGAGTAAACATGGTTCGCATTCAACACCAGCAAAACTATATCAGAACATCCGTTTACAAACTCTCACACAGCTCATGCAGTAAGATCCAAGTCTCATTTATCCAGTCGTTATGCTCAGTACTTTCCAAACACCTGCATTCTCCATTAAAACTGTACTATTTAAACACTTGTGCTTATGAGTAGCATTCCCTGAGCATGCCTGGCCCACATGTGCGTATGAGCTGAGCACTGCGCATTGGACTGGAGTTGTGAGAGTTTGTAAATGAATGTTTTTATACAGTTTTTGTGACTTCGATTCATCATGAATGTTGGCCTTTTTTGGATTCTCTCTTCACCGTGGAGGCATGCGAGACAAGTTTTCTTTACAAATTCAAGATAATGTGGTGAGTGATATTCAGATGGTCATTTTGCATGTGAAGTGTCCCTTCAAGTACAAATTCAAGTACTAAACCATTTTATGCTACTTTATACTCCTACTCTGCTACATTACAGAGGTAAGTATTGTACTTTTAATTTCAGCTTACAATTTCTCATCCCCTTCCTGTCCAGTGAAAAGATTTTGAATTGTTTGTGATTGAACTGAAGGATGAAGTGTTCATTTAGGTGTTGACACTACTTCTTAAGAGAAGTACAATTTTTAAAAACCCTCGTGGATCAGCTGGAAAATGCATCGTCACAAATCTGAAAACAGGGCTGTTTTTCTGACACTGTGAAAAGTTGACTGTTTACAGATACATGGTCGTCAGAGGACGGCCACGCTACAAACACATGATGATCCTATGGAATATGATGCATCGCTGTAGATTAAACTACCGAACAGGATATAAAGGAGTTAAAATGAGCACAACCTGAAACATCTACAGCAGCAAAATGCAACATACACGTTCACGCAGCAGTAATATTCATCCATAAACATTTTATAAAAGTAACTTTGTCTTACGTGCTATAGTATACTTTTTTAAAATGTGGTTATTCATGCTGATCCTTTTGCCTTTTCTCGTGCTTTTCAAATAAACAAAGACACAACCAGACTGTGATTTTTCATTCACAGAACAATCTGCTGGAGGTTGGATGGAACAAATCCGAGGACACTCAAAAGGACATCGAGAAAACACTCAACTGTTGCGGCTTCTCTTCATTTTCCTACAATGGCACCTGTGCAGCTGTGAGTAAGCCAGACTGGACTTTTATTTCCTTTTTCCTCTTATCAGCAACTTGATCTCGATTCGCACGACCGCTTCTCTGGAACTGAATTTTCTCCACTACTTCCTCTAGAGATGCTTTCACAGCAATCCTCCGCCGACTTGTGACACATGCTCGAACACTATCCAGGGGTATGCAGGAGAGGTGCTGCGGTTTGTGGGTGGTATCGGACTCTTCTTCAGCTTCACAGAGGTCAGTAGAATGAGATGGAGACCAAGAATTGTGTGTGAAATGGGTGCTGATGTAGATATTTAGACAGATAAGCGCTGTCAGAAGACTTGATACTCATTTATCCTTCCTTTCAGATTCTTGGAGTCTGGCTTGCCCACAGATACAGAAATCTCAAAGATCCTCGCTCAAACCCTGGAGCCTTTCTATAACCACTCACAGTTTAATAAACCAAAAGATTGCACTGCTAATCATAGTTTCTCTTTTTAACTCTGTAAATCACACTCATCTGGACATTTATAACATTTAAAGAAAGGCTGTGACTTTTGCCGATGAAGGTAAAGTGTTGTGTAACAGTAACACAGCGAAAGAGAAGACAGTCTTGAAGCCAGCTACACAGCATCCATCTAAATACCGCTAACAGCCAACATTAGCCAACGAAACTTCTAAGTCTATTGAATTGGGCAAAGGTTGGTTTTATTGCTCACAAATTCAACTTTGTTTGTTTAATTTCATCTTTCAGAAGTCACTGCCTCACTTAAAATGTGCTGCTCGATTACTTTCATTAAAATGATGCAGTTTTTGTTGCTGTAAATATTTATTGCCTTCCTTTAAAGGAATATTTTGACATTTAGGGAAATAAATTTGCCAAGAGTTAGAGGAGGTGATTGGCACCACTGTCGGGTGCGGTAAATTTAAAGCCACCACCAGCAGCTGCTCAGCTTAGTTTAGCATAGTGACTGGAACTGGGGCGAAACAGGAGGAGTCTATGTTCCCCAGTTCAGTATTCTGTGAGGACACATTAACTCTCCTCTTGTGTTCATGCCACTTTCTTGTCACTCTTTATCCCTAAAATAGTTACTCTGCATATTAATACATAAGGCATATCAGACAAAGAGCCATTAATACATTAAAACTAGTCCATACCCATTGAGTGCACAGTTGCCCACGTACAGTTTTACATGGTGTGTGTTTGGGATACAGGTCATAGGAAATTGCAGATTAAATAGTCAACTGAACTCATTAAGAAGAGCAATGTATTCAGACAGAGTTTTTGTGAATTTGCAGCCACAGCAATCTGTCACATTTTTAAGCATTTTTCTGTTGTTATAGCGCCACCCAGTTGCCAATTAGAGTTAAATTTCTCCAGTCACCTTGAGGCGTCCTGTTCTACATATCTACCAAGTTTAGTAAAAATCGATATGGCGGTTAGGCCTAGATAAGAAATTAGCTCTCTAGCGCCCCCATTTTGTTTGATGCGGTCAATAATGGAGGGGTCCCCTCAGATTATGTGTGGTCATGTGCCTACAAAGTTGCGTGGTGATCAGTGAAACCCTTGAGATGTTATACACCTTTATGTGATGAGCCACGCCCTCTGCAATATTCATTGCCTTATAGAAGCTCAGTTTTAGTAAGTTTTCCAACTTTTGCCGAGAGGGAACTTTAGATATTGGTCCCTAGATTATGTTCACCCAGTTTCATGCAGATCGGTCAAACTTCCTAGGAAGACATCGATTTTAAGTGTTTTTCAAAAAATTCAAAATGGCGGAAAATCTATATAACCGGAAGTTATGGGTTCTTGAGGCAAATGTGTTCCTCATGAGGAGAGGCATCTCTGTGCAAAGTTTCATGTCTCTACGACATACAAGGCATGAGATATGCCCATTCAAATTTTGCAATTTCAGTTGGTTGCTATAGCGCCCCCCTTTGGCCAATTGATGTAATATTGCTTCATTCGCATCCTCCCATGACCCTCTACCACTGTGCCAAATTTCACATGGATTGACCAAGTCAGTGAAGAGAAAAATGTGGAACAGACACAGACAGAGTTTTCGTCATTATATAGTAAGATGTAAGATTAAAATTGACTAGTAGGAGTGTGTCTGAAGATTTCACACCCCCTTTCCAAGCCTTTTTCCCCAACCTTAAATTGTTTCCCATTGAAGATGGGAAAAGTCAGTTGTTATGGATATCTCACCTTAACCTGACCTCCTAACCACCTGTTAATAAATGGGACTTAACCCTGGCTCTAACCCTAAATTAGCCCTCTTTTGATTCATTTCATTAATTCATTCTTATCATAGTTTTATAATTTGTTGGGCTGCAATTAATAACAGAAACAGAAAGTACAACTATATTGAGACAAAGACCTGTGCCATTACAGTTTCATCAGGGGCATATCAGTCCCCTAACCCAGTGGTTCTCAAATGGTGTGCCGTGATAAGAATCCAGGTGTGCTGTGGGATTTTTTTTAATAACCACACATTAGTATGGCAATATTCTATTGTCTATACAAGAAGTGAATTCATTTTTAATTGGCTGTGTCAGTATGTTGAGGCGAATAACCTTGATTTAAATAACCTTCACTGGGAACCTATTTGTCACCATTAGCACATGGGAATTATAAATGTGTGACGTATCAAAAGCTCTGATTGGCAGCCAGTATGAGGTATCATATTATTTTCAAGGACAAAGCAGTGAGTGGGACAATAGATCACTTTATTATACGGAGCAAATTACAACAAAGATCCAGCAATGACGACCTACCACCGCAAGAGAAGAGAAAAACTGTCAGTGGACAGTATCATCGTATCAAATCGTGATAAGAGTGATACCACGTGTTCTAGAAGCTATTGTGCACAGATGTAAATACAGGTGTCTTGAGATTTTGGTGTGCCCTTTAGGATGCCTGGGCACAACAAGTTTGAAAACCCCTGCCCTAACCTGACCCATGTCATGTTAAGTGAGCTGGGAACATAAGAATGACCCTGAAATGACTCGCCTGGCTCTGTCTAAAAGAGACAAACTCCACCTGCCAGCACCTCTGAAGCTCAGTGATTAAATTACATCTTGTTTTAATCTGTGCAATAAAAAGAAGTGTAAAATTGACTTTCTATTTTTTGTAACAGAAGGTTAGTGCCAGGGTGTAGTGACTTCATGGAGATGACAAAACAAAGAGGATATATCTCTCTGCAAGACAGCAAATAGGCTTGATTCCCAAAATGTCAAACTATTCCTCAAAGTGAAACCTGACACACGTCTCCCCTCCTTTAATTCTAATCTGTCTCAAAGTGATAGACATTAACAGTGGCTCTGTGTGCTCACTGTGCACACACCTTATGCAAATAACATGCATGTTAGCTCCACGGTGGCTGGATGACTGTGGTCACCACTCCCAGCCTCACTATTCATGGGGGACCACACACACTGGTGTGTGCTGCAGACAGTGGATTTGGGTGTTAGGTGTCCGTTAAAACAGGACAAGATCAAATTAAAGCCAAACCTGTTTCAGCATGTTAGCCACACTGTTATGAAACCAGCTTTGTTTTTGTTTACTGTGTATTTATTGCTCTTTGTTTCCTGTTTAAGACACATCACGCTGAATCATGGCGTCCTCATATTAAGTGTCTCGTTTTCCATGGTTGTCTAAAAATAAACACGCAGCACATGTATGGAAAATGTTGTATCTCAATGCTTTGCTTGTCAGATTAAGTGCTGATAGAGAGGCGTGTGTTCAGTCAGGAGCAGGCAGCTCGGTGCCACATGACTCGCTCACATTCCTCACCACAACCAGGATGCCAACCAGGAACTGAGCTTTCTGTTTAGATTCCTCTGAATGTGTAACAGACTCATTAGACGGTCCAACCTGTTCACCAAGGTGACTGTGAACTCAGCTGCTCTGCACTGCCAACATGTAAAATTAAGTCATTGTGTGCACACCTTCTAATGAACTGAGATGTATATTTAGATCTATTAAATTTTACAAACAGCTCATTCTGTGGTAGCATGCAGTGACAGGGTAGAGTCAATTACATGGCCTTATTTAGACACTAATAAAATATTTAAATATCTGTAGAAGTTTCTGGAAGAAAGACAAATATATATGGATGGTTTAATAGTTGAAGATGCTCATGAGTGTGTGGCTGTGCAGGGATAACGATTAAAATACATGAAGAAGTATTGGTGTATATGTTAATGCATGGGTGGCAGTAGCTCAGTCCATAGGGGCCTGGCTTAGGAACCAGAGGGTCGGTAGCTCAAGTCCCCGTATGGATGGAGCGTGGACTGGCAGCTGGAGAGGCACTGAACCCCCAATTGCCCAGGGTGCCTGCCCAAGGCAGCCTCCTCACTTTGATATCCCTCCATTGAATACATGTAGAGGTCCTTTTTTGTATGTGCATCTATTTCGTGCTTGTGTGAAAAAAAATTGAATTTCCCCTTGGGTATTAATAAAGTGTATCTTCTTCTTCTAAATATGTAAAGTGTTGCCCACTTTGTCTTATTGCTTTTAATCCTGTGACAGTGTTTAATGGCTGTGTAGTTTCACAACAATGTCTCAGTTTGCAAAACTTAGCACAAGTTTTCAGGCTTGATGCAACACGTACAGATCATTGAATCAATGCAACATTAACTTCATTACTGCTGCCCTGTGTTTCAGATGTAAGGCAGTGGTGGGAAGGAGATAAAGGTAAAATGAGCACATAGGGTGAATCTCGGCACATTGTTAAAGTGGCCTACTGGATGTTTACACATGTTTGAAATATCTCAGGGATGGTGTCTTGAAGGAAAACAAACTGGTTGATAGATAACAAAATGAAGTCATGCAAACAGCTCTGTGAGACTGCACTTCAGCACACTGATGTTTCAGCTAAATGAATCACTGTAAGACTTAACTGCCTATAATATAAACAATAAACAACTGATCACAAAAAAGAAAATGAAACTAAACAGTAAAATAAGACCATTTTTAACTCAATAAATAAAAAGCTGTGAAAACCATTTATTTGTGCTCCTTGTTTGCTCACAGTTAGAAATGCTGTTAGTGATGTGAATTCACTTACATCTCAAGGAAAGACATTTTAATTCCCTGTATCTTCTGTCTCCTCCTATACAAACCACTGTCTGTTGCATCAAACTCATGTTTCTTTGCCATAATGACTCCTTAAAAAAATGTACCAATCTCTTGTCAGAACGCTCCAAAGCTAACAGACATTAGTATGTCGTCCAAAACTGCATGAAAAAGTCAAGGTATAGTATGTTGTCCCAAAGAGCATGAAAAAGTTATTGTATAGTATGTCGACCAAAACCATAAAAAAAAGTCATAGTATAGTATGAAGTCCAAAACTGCATAAAAAAAGTCATAGTATAGTATGTCGACCAAAACCATTAAAAAAAAGTCATAGTATAGTATGTCGATCAAAACTGCATAAAAAAAGTCATAGTATAGTATGTCGTTGAAAATCATGAAAAAAAGTCATAGTATAGTATGTTGTCTAAAATCATGAAAAAAAGTCATAGTACAATATGTCATCCAAAATCATGAAAAAAAGTCATAGTATAGTATGTTGTCCAAAATCATGAAAAAAAGTCATAGTATAGTATTTTTTCCAAAATCATGAAAAAAAGTCACAGTATAGTATGTCATCCAAAACTGCATGAAAAAAGTCATAGTATAGTATGTCGTCCAAAACTGCATAAAAAAGTCATAGTATAGTATGTCGTCCAAAATCATGAAAAAAAGTCATAGTATAGTATATCGTCCAAAATCATGAAAAAAAGTCATAGGATAGTATATTGTCCAAAACTGCATGAAAA